AGAACATATAAGTTAACTATTGGAGTTAAATTGTGCCGATAGTTCTATACGCTCTCCCAAAACAATAGTAACACTAGTAACAATTAGATCCCTTATATATTATACGTAAAATTGTAAAATCGATGCCCATGTAACTGATCTGGATCGTGACCTCATGACCACGTGATATCGTAAATCGAATTGCCAGCCGCAGTAACTGCTAACGAAAGAAGTATTGGTAAAGTAACTAGAAAGCGATCAAATTACTCAAACAAAAGTAAAAGAACACTTATCTAGACCCAACGTTATCTCTATAAACCCAATTAACCTGATTACTCGGACCAAATATTTCCACACCTCAAACGAAGATTTATTAATATTAGGGTTCTTGTTAGAGTTGTTTAGTTAGCATATTTGTATAGTAATGGTGTATATACGATCCAGTAACTTTTCCGACCAGTTTATTACTTTTCAATGTACATATGTATACAGGCTTCAAGAAGTATCGATTAATACTCTTCAATTCCGGTAACTCGTATAAGGATTATAAATTGGATTACGCCGATTCTGGATTGTGGCTGGATGCGGATTCCAAGTATGAATACAAAAAATATATTTGTTCATCAATTTTGGAATCTTATCGTTATGTTAAAATACATATATATCCGTTAAGTACACGTCTGTGCTATTTTGTTTATATATACACATGTACTTATTTTTCATATTCTTATTCCAGTTTATTATCCTGAACTAAACATGGCTTGGCTCTCCTAACGCGATGGCTTTCCCAATCATACGTAACACTAGTATTGAGAACTCAAGAAAAATATAAATAAAAATAAAAAATTATTATTATTATACTTGAAGATACGCCGTTATTTTTTCAGCATAACTTAAAAAAAATCTTGCATAAAGACATTTTTCCGACTAATGAACGCTTGTAAAATGAAAAACTGTCTCTATTAGACGTAAATACGTACTTGCGTATTTATCCATAAAGGTTCATATTGTACAACTTATGATTCGGGAAATCTAATACAAATTACAATCATATGGTCATTTAGGTCTAATGTTAGTGATTGTGCTCAATTTATTATTAATCATTTATTTTCTATGCTGACTCAATTTTATGCAGCTATATACTCAGAGAGATACCTTTGTAAATGTTACGATTCATTATAAGATCATATTTTGAAGCAGTGATATTAATTATTTTTAAAAATGGCTTAACCAAAATTAACTTTATTATAATTATTCATTATAATAACAAATATCATTCGAACAAAAAGAAAAAGAATTACAATTTACATTATTTTTGAAAGACCAAAAAATTACATTAATAATTGAAGCATATTGAAATACCAAAAAATAAAAATACAAATAATCTAATTTTAATTGAAGCAAACAAGATAAGATGGGGAGGCATAGTTGCAATATGCACAGTAAAAATAACCAGAGCAATAACTGCAGCTGTAGGAGTTGTATGTACCACCATAATAGATAATAGAGCGTTTAGAGATTTTGTGTTCGGAAAGCCCATCAGCAGGTTCGCGTTCAGAAAGCTCATCACCAAGTTCGCGTTTAGATAGGTTTTTGTCGGAAGGTTCACGTTTGTCCTTGAAGTCGGCCATCTTAATAAAACCTGAATGTTCGGGTGTGGAATCACGTTTGCTGGTGCCGTTAACAGCATCCAGTTTAACTAAACCACCATCACCATTGCCTCCTTCACTGACAGGAGCAGACCAGGTTGAACACGCAATAAGAAGAATAAAAGCAAAAATGATGTAAAATTTTAAAGACATTTTTATAAAATTTTAAAATGTGTAAATGAGATGTTGGGTAATAGAAAAGGCAAGATTCAAGCGTTAATATAATATTAATTCAAGTATTAATACAATATTGATTCTAGTGTTAATACAATATTGATTAAGTGAATTGAAAGATCTAACAAAGGTCGAATACGAGGGATTTTTATAGTTGAAGACTCGGAGTTTTCTTCGTTCTTCCGTTATATGATTTTGTATTTAGGCTGCACAAAGTTATATTTTCAATGGCCTCCCTTTTTTTTCTTTTTTCCTTTGCCATGTATAGTGAAAAAATAATCAATTAATATTTCGTGCATGGCGTTAAAATAATCAGTTCTATTAATTTTCTTGCAATCGTGTATTGTATAAAATGCAAGTTCATGCAGCATCATGTATTTGCGCGAAATAATACAGTAGGCGTTATTTTGAACCTTCAACTTATAAAGAGGCAATAATTAATTTATATAAATTCAGAATTTCCATGCATGATATATCATTTTCAAACAATACAATTAAACCTCCTTAAATAAATATCGGAGTTGTCTATATGGGAAATTCAAAAAATCTTGCATTTAGGGAGGTATTGATTCAGGAAAGTAGAAATCTACGTTTGTTATTACCAACCCATTATTTTATTTCCTTATTTAGAAGAGTATCTAAAATGCAGCTATTATTGCTGTTTTCAAAAAGGTGTGAACAGACGCCAATAACTATATCACGGGAAATTCCAGATTTCCAAAACTTTCAAAGCCAGCTCTAATCGGATCTTCAATTTTTACTAATAATAATTTCCCAATTCTTCGATTCCCCACATATGTATATGGAAATCGTTGTTCACACTTACGGTATAGGTTGGTAATTACTGTTCGAGTTAGTCTAGGTTAGGAATATGTTGAATTTCATACTCTTCCGACATTTTTTATTAGTAGGTTTAAATGATTGTTTCTTTTTTTTTTTTTTGCTTCGTAAAAATTATGATTTTATTGGCTATGTAAATCTTCCAAATACGGGATCGAAAAATGGATCAGTAATAATGATGCAGGGGAATTATTTTCACAATTGTGGAAATAACGGCGTGGAATTGTGGAATTGATGATAATTAGCAATGTAAAAAAATTATGGATTATTAAAATTGTTAATAATTATCAATTCCACAATTCCACGCCGTTGTGAATTAAAAAACGTTTGTGGATTTATTTCTACGATTGTGAAAATAATTCCCCTGCATCACTAGTCAGTATTGTCGGTCAAGATCCATGAATCTATATGTATTTGTCAAACAAGATCATGCAGTAATCTATATGCACTGAGCAAACAAAATCCTGCATTGATCTAGATGTATCGGGTAAACAAGATCATGCATTTTTAAATAGACTATTATCACAAATCATTAATTCGTGACATTAGAAAGTTCGAATTTCCTTTTATTCCCGATTTGTAAATAGATCGTCTTGTCGTACATAGATTCTCATTTTGTATAAGTCATCAAATGCTGGTCAATATTGAGGCGGAACTTTGTATACTGTATCCCCGTTATTTAGCATATGATCGACCCTTTTGTATGAATTATTGTATTACATAAGACGTTAACATGTAGCACGCTAAAGCGCAATAAGGGATAGAGGTTAATTAATTTCGAAAGTTCGAGATTATACGTTAGCGTGGTGTGCTGAAAATTAGTTGCTGCGGCTGATGCTGAAATTCGGGCCTATTTTGTTATTAATTCTTAAAATTTTTTTGGTTTTTTTTTTTAAGGTTAGGTTGTAGAATTGATAATTAAGGCCAAGTCAAGTTGATTCTCTGTTTAGCATAACATGAGATGACTTGTATGAGGAGGTGGGGATTAAGAAAAACCACACATAATATGGGGTGCGGACAATAGAAACAGCCCATTTTTACATTTAACTTATTTTGAGATAATTGAGTTTAATCATTTG